TTTTTTTTCGATTACAATAGTATGTGCTTAAATTGTGATAATTTGGAGAATTTATCAACACTATCAATGTATTGAGCTAGTTCAATTTGTGCATTTGAAAGATAAGTGTCTGTCAAGTGTTTAAGTAGACCACAGCTGAAAAAATCACAATACTTTTTAAGAGAATCAAATAATTCATCAACATCGCTATATTTCAAAGTGGAAACTGGTATGTCCAAAAAAGTAGCTGCACTCCTAGCTACAGCTTTAAGCTTCACTTTACCCTTTTCCACCAGCTCCTCAAACTCATCTCTTATATTAGAATCAAGAGATGCAAAACGAGAATGAAGATTTCCAATATTGGCAGCAACTTCATCCTTTGAACTGAGCTCAATGACAGTAGGAGGAGTAGATGATTGTGATCCAGTGATTGTTGGATGTGGTGTGTGAGATTGTGCAGTGACATCCACTGGTTGAAGTGGTCCCTTACTGATTGATGGTTGCTGCTCTAGATTAGGATCAACATGACCACCTGTAACTCCTACTATAAATAAAAAATAAATAAATGAATCAAAAATAAATAAATCAAAAATAAATAAATGGATAACTGGGGTATATTATATCTTACTTAATTTTTCCATTAGTTTAGATGCCATGTTTATTAGTCCTACTTTCTGTAGTGATGTAATGAGAGAAAAGAACACACTGTTAGGATTAGGATGACACTCAAGTGTTGCTAGTACTGAAGAGAATATTTTATTAGCTCTATCATAAGGAGTGAGGCTTGCAGTACTTTCAACAGTAACATGTACTGCTTTAGGAATGAGATCAGATGAAAAGAGATGATTATTTAATTGAGAAATAACTAGAGCATTTCCTGCCAACAGATCAACAAGATCAGCTAACATCTCTTTCATTGTAATGTATTCACATGACATTGATCCTTCCATTGGTTCTAATGATGATGGATCTTTCTTCCCCTCCTTATCTTGCAGTACTGTTGCTGTTGGATCATGTGGAGCTAATGATGAATCTTGAGATTGTCTTGGCTTAGGTGCTGTTGGTAGAGGTTTTTTAGTTATTGATGGTAGGTGTGGTTTAGGTGCTTTTGAAGGAGGTTGTGTAGTTAGTGATGGTCGACGTGGTTTAGGTGCAGTTGGAGGAGCAGGTTGTGTGGCTTGTGAAAGTGGTCGTTGTTTTTTAGCTGTTGACAATGGTTGAGATCGTCTACTTTGTGATAATGATCTTGGTTTAGGTGCTACTGGGGGAGGAGACTTTAGTGTCTTTTGTGATGAGCCTATTAATAGTAATTTAATAAAAACTGACATGCTTGCTGATTACGTTAGCTAATTTTAATACACTTTTTAAACATTTACACCTTTTATTTTTCTAGTAGCTACTCTCATTTCATGTAGCAGTGTTGGATGTTCTTCAAATGCTCTTATAAGAAGAGACATTCCTTCATGATCATTAACAGCATTTCTAATCTTTCTTATAGTATCAGCATCAAGCAGTGGTAGAGACTCCTCCAGTTGTCCTTTGATCAATAACTCATGAAACTCTATCAATTCAGATACTTTTGGTCTATCATCTGGTATATCCATTAATGCAATAGGAGAAAGTGGAGGACCTCCTATCAATGGCTTGTTTGTACCTGTATAGGAGGATAGAGCATTCAAATAACTGTAGTAATTATCTCAATTGAAGTATTTCATAGTTATCATACTACATACCAATCAATTATGGCTTACTATAAATTTAGCACATAATTTAACAAATTAAATATTTTACATTGCAAATTACACTCCTCCACCAGTCTCAGAAAATAGTAATTTTTGTACATCTTGAGTCTAGTAATGTAACACTCACCAGTAGCAGTACTGTGTACATCATTGGTTCCTTTGATATCATTACCACTGATCATAGCATTACATTCTACAGAATACACACACAGTCAATACTAATACAATCAGTGATATTAACTTACTCTCTTGATCTAACTTGTCAGCTGCAGCATTCTCATTCATAGATTTAAGAGCATCTGACAGTGAGTCAAAGGTAGCTCCTCCTTTACTGTCAACATTATCAGCTCTGGACAACCACTGGGAGAGACAATCTGTCAAGCATCGAGATACATCACCAGGATGATTCCTTTCAATGGCGTCCAGTGTGTTCTTGTGTAATCCTAGTGTCAGTCCTAGTTCCTTCCATCTCCTCTGAGGGAAACCACATCTCTTCAACAGATTAAGTACATCAATAAGTTGATCTAAAATCATATTCAATGATACATAGATAGTTAATGAACATTACCAATAGTCAAAGGAGAAGAGAAGAGACTCAGAGAAGAGGAACAAGAACTGGTTTTAGTTGCCATTGATCAACCGGATGCAAACTTTGCAAAGCAATGCAAAGGGTGGGGCTCATTATTGAGCATGATGACATTAGAAATCAGAAACTCTGAATTAAGGTAAATAATATCAAGAGTAGATGATCCACTCTTGATATTATTAATTCATTTATTTATTTATCTATTTAGCAGATGGATAGATTGTGATGGTGGATTATTATCAGTTAGTATATTTATACTTTTATGTTCTCATCTCTC